AGCTTTTCATGAGACAGGCTCATTTCCAATTTAGTATACGTTTTTTCCTTATATCTGTTTAGAAAGAAAACAAGTAATTTTATATCCGCATGATACTTTCTGAATGAAGTATTAAGCTATTTGCACCAGCAACCTTTTTGAATCAAAACCAGTTACATATAACCAGGATCTGACTTTCTCATTGTTTAACTTCAAGTCTCCTAAATAGCCGTTATTAAAACAATTGATAAAAATTGAAAGGCCATTTAGATGCTTCATTCCTCATTAATGTACCTATTAGGGTTCCTTTCCATATCTACTTCAGTAGCAAAAAGTCACAACACCTTACGAAATAAAGGACAATAAAGTGCGCCAACAGCTTATACTAAGATACCTAAACTCATCGATTAATAATATCAGATATTTATCATTTGCCTACATAACTTACAGAGGAATTCGGAGTACATGAGGCTGACTCTCATGATGTAAATCGGCAAAATGCTGCTTTCCGTATTCAGGCCTGGTGGAGAAGATCTATGAAGTTTGACTCTGGGTGGCAGCAGCCGCAGAAAGAGCAACCCGCCACTTCCTCAAGTGGTGATGCTTATGTACTAAAGATTTCAGACCAAGATCCTACTTATAGAGACATAAATTCTGAGAGAAAACGATGTGAGCGCAGACGTCATGCTCTGCATCAAAAAACTGAAAAGCACCTGCCAAACCTGACTTCTGTCGCTGGAAGTTTCATTCTGGAAAAAAATGAAATTGATGTTGAAAGCAATGATGATTTTTCTGCTGTCCATCTATCTCTCCAGGACATATCAGATGAGCCAAAAGCTGAGACCGAAATGGGATCTACCAGCTTGGCCAGCGTTTCCAATTCTGATATGGTGATCAAGGCAACTATGCCGGGAGAAGCTGATACATTGGCTGGACCTCGGCATAGATTTCGTTGTCTGAACCGGAACTATGATAGGAAAAAGGGTTCAGGGACAACTAATATAGGTTTGCCATACGGCCTCCTGACCGAAGTACTGGCAGCGAGGAACACTCGCCTCGAAGCAGCAAGACGTGAACAACGTCTAGAAGCGATTAAGGTGAGGCACTTTGTTAGGATGAAAACAAATAATTTTGCATATGTATGTAGGTATATCAAGAGTCAGAAATGTGAAATTAAGCACACGGTTATATAAATAACTCGAAAGGCTTGGAAATAGAAATATGAGTAGGCCAGCTTACGGGAAAAGTAGAGTAAAGTGATCGTTTGGAGACCGAAAAGCTATTAACCAGTGTATATATGCTTAAATAGATAGGTGTGTCAAAAATATGCACACAGAAGAAGACAGATACAAGCGGGAATAAATTAAAATGGTAACTGAGCCTCACTTTATAAATTTATTTGCATGCATGTATAGCTATAAATGGATAACTTGGGAAGTAGATGCATATAAGTATACAGCTTCAGACAAACACATAAATAAAAAATTTCACAGAAAGACAGCTGGATAGAAGATGAACTAGATAGATTATCACTGCATTTAAAATATCGGATACTAAGCAGCCATCTAGGCAGGCATTCAATAACTGTTTCACTCTGAAGTAATGCTGGCAGAAGTCTGGATTCTCAGCAGTATATTACTAAATTTCTATATGAAAAAGAGCCATAATTTGTTCTTGTCATTCAGGCCTTCCTTAAGATACAGGTTTATTAGGGTAGACCTAAAAATACTATATTCGTAAGAATGTAGGGTTTCGAGACTACCAGTAAATCATTGTAAAAATACTACACTCTTTGAGGAAAAGGGATTACAAGAACTTGAAACCATCAATAAATCTTATCACTCATTTTATTTTTGTGCGGCTGGATATTTACTGGCATTCTAGTGCTATGGCCGATTGACTTAAGACGTTTCCGAAATTCCCTGGGTTGGATGACTTAATATACGTTTTACTTCAAAAAGGTTAAGTCTGGACAAATAATGGCCACTTCTTCACCTCACTCACATTTAATTTTCCCTATTAGGACTAATTTAAATACAAAACTTAGAATTTCCTATATTCGAACCGCGACAGTGCAGGACGGTAGCTTGACACTCTAACCACTTGGCTACACTGCCACGAGTACCTTTGAGTCACAGGGCACAAGTGAATTTCAAGGAAGGTTAGCGTGTCAAGCTATCGTCCTGCACTGTCGCGGTTCGAATCCCGCTGAGAGTGTTGATAAGACCGATGCTAGGTCGAAACTGCAGTCCACTGGTGCCTGGATGAGAACAACTTTTGGGAAAGCAAGGCTATGTGAAATTCAATGAAAAACTTAGCTCAACTCATATCATTGTGGGAAAATTCTACTACCAGTCCTTCATCACCTTAGACGAAATAGGGTG